CCAAGTATTCATCCCAGACAGGGATAAGTCTTTCCCAGTGGGACAAATTCCCATGGAACAAATCTGCAATGTGCCCTGTGGTTTCTGCTCTGGAAACCAGATAGCTCTCTCACATGGCATCAGGTTACAGGAGAGCTAAGCATCTCGAGACGGCTGTGGAGTCATTTTACTATAAATTACTAAACACCACCCTTAACTCCTAGTTGCAGTAACTGATGACCTGCAGAGACAAGTAACTGCTTTGGAAACAAAAGTACAGGTTTTGGAGGCTGAACTAAATAGACACAAAAAAGGTAAGGTCCAATCATTGATTAGTTTTCTTTTTGGCCTGGTAAAATGACGGACATGCTAGTGCAGGAGAAGGGACTGAAAACAGTAGGTTGAAACAAATATTACACATTTCTCTTGCGTTGCTCGTGGGAGATGGTCATTAATTAAATGCTGTCTCACTGAATACATCCTTCCTGAACTGACCTGCCAGACTTTAAGGATCACTTTGCCAACATACAGAGCAGGGGCTTCGTTACGTGGACTGTGGGATCATAGAATCATTTAGGTTGGAAAAGACCTTTAAGATCATTGAGTCCAACTGTTAACCTAGCACTGCCAAGTCCACCAGTAATCCATGTCCCTAAGCACCACATCTACACATCTTTTAAATACCTCCAGGGATGGCAACTGAACCACTTCCCTGGGCAGCCTGTTCCAATGCTTGATAACCCTTTTGGTGAAGGGGTCACATTACATTTCTCTTACTGCCTTAGCTCTAGATAATTTTCTATGAGTAGCCATGGATTGGGATGCTGTCTGCCTGGGCCTGGCTGCAAGTAACTTCTCAAGAGATACTGTGTGAAAACTTTCAAGGAACATCTCATCAGTGCACAACTAGCTCTGGTACAAATGCTGCGTTAGGAAAAGCACAAGGTCCATCATTGTTCTTAAATTAACTTGGGAGGAAATGACTTAAGTTGCAATTTACCACGTCACAAGCATCAGCAGAATGAAGTCATATAGCTCCACAGCACCTGCTGACGGGGTGTCTTCCCAGGAGAAAGCACAACTTTGAAGCCATAGCTGTGTGTAAAGAGTGAAAGTAACCTGAATTTGGGGCAAAAAATTGAAGAGCATGGAGAGACTGAACAGCTGGTAACAGTAATCTCTTCAGCTATCTCCCTTTTGTCCTCCTGCACTCGTGTATCAGCACCCTGGAAAAGGATGTCTGAAACTGCTGCAGAGGTTTTACCTGGCACAGGAGTTTAGTGGGGGTTGCCTGCCCACAAAAGCATTGTGCTGGTACTGTTCCCACAACATCAGGGGAAAATTTAACTATGTATATGTCCCAGATGTTGTATCATTGTTATAACGTGGTAGGCTCCCTTCATGCTAATCCCAGAAACCTGTTAAAGACAATACGATAAACTAACTTGCCTGTTAAAGACAGCAGCTGTGTTTCAGAAGAATTGCTGCTAGCAGTTTTATCTGCTAAATGAACAAGAGCTTCACTTTCCATTGGCTTTTCATGAAGGCCTGTCAAGGATGTGAGCTATATATTCCCACTTCTCCTAAGACAATTTATATTTTCTGGAGAAATACTCCGTTTCCTAGGCTTGCTAAAGCTGTGCCTACATCTCCTCTTTCTGCTCTGTTGCTTTAAACCCTGAATTTTGTTACAGTCCCTCAGCTTTGGTTTCTGTGATAAAGCCAATGGGTACAGAAAATCTCCTAAGTGCAGCTCAGTTTCCTTGTATGATTTTAATTGATCTGTGATTTTTGCATTGAAACTTATCATGCTTGCAATTTGAGTGTGAATTCCTTCAGATCCTGATTCAAGAGCTGTAATACTATATGAACTGGAAATGAAAAACATTAGAACAAGATTTGTGATCCTATTTCTTGTGAAATTCCAGTTTTCTTGAAGCGTGGGCTTGATATATCCAGGTGTATATTTTAATTGACTTCTATTGGATTCTGCCCACTACTTCAACAAATAGTCTGTTTATAGCTTTTATTAGCTACTTCACAATTGTGATATGGATAAATAATTATAACACAATCAATTTTTGGTATAATACAATTATGTTTACTTTTGTTTCTAGCTTTGATTTTAAAGAACATCGAGAGTATTGGTAAGAAAATATTTGTCTCAACTGGAAAAGAAGATACTTTTGGCAATGGAAAATCCCTTTTTCCAAAAGCTGGAAGTGCAGTTGCCTCTCCTAGGAATGAGGCTGAGAATACAGCTTTAAAAGACTTAATAAGACCTTCAAAGCAGGCTTAGATGGAGATACCTGACGAACAGACTGAAGGCAAGTTCTTGTACCTGAATGGAGGGGCTGTAACTTACACAAACTCGAATGCTGGAGAACCAAATAATCTAAAAAATGAAGACTGCGCAGTAATACAAGACTCTAGAAAATGGAATGACGTTAATTGTTCAAATTTATATGCCTCAATTATTTATGAATTCTTGAGCTGATGAATCTAAGAAAACCCAAAGTTTTTGCTCTCACTTACGTGGTTGATACAGAAGTTTGATCCCATAAAGGTGTCCTGGAGTAACCAGAACTACAGTGTATAATTGTTTTCTCTTTGACATTCAGTTTTGAATCTCCTAATAAAATACAGATTTAATTTTTTCAATCATCATGAATTAAATTGTGTTTATCATAGCGGTAGTAAGGCTAATGAGTTATGGCATGCTCATCAGGTTGGTCATTATAGCTTCCCATGAGTTCCTCATAAACGCAACATGAGGGAAGCATTTTTTAATGACTGTGAAACTAATGAAAATTTTTTATACATTTGGTCTTTGAGCTGAGCTGTAAACTTGGAGAGATAGCTCTCCACATGTTGCTTCTGATACATCCTATTACTGTGTAAATAATGAACAGTCCATACAGTCCTGTTATTTCAATATTTAGTGACTGTTTTGCTCCTAGCGTGCTTTTACTCTAGTTCTAATATTGACCGCTAATGATCACTTAGAGCTTAGACTGGTATTTGTCATCTGGGTACAGAGGTCTATCGCACACAAGTGATTACTGACATGCAAATAATTTCTTTTTTGAAGTTTTGGCTATTTTCGTGCTGCTTTTTTCTATTTGATATGAAAGTGAAATGTGCTGTAACTATAAAGAGGAGTAAAACAGTAAAATGCCCAGCCAGGTTGGTTTATGTGCAGTAGAACAACCACAAGAGAACAAGATCATCGTTTTTAGCAATCTATAGGCATCTTTTGAAGTAAAGGAGATTTAGATCAAGATTTAAGTGCAGTAGAAAGCAGAAAATTTTTGTCTTAAGTTAAATACAAAAGTCTACTGGTGAAATGTACTCCAAATGGAATTTAGCACATGAAGAAAAACAGCAAAAGGCCTTATTTACATGAATAGATCCTTAATGTGAGAGAAGTGATACCGTAGGTTTTTATGATTTTCATGATGGGAGCTTCTTTCCTCTCAAGTGAACTACAGAAAGGTCAGCTACAGACTGGATTAACTAGGAATAGGTCAATACCATGACAACAAAGCCAGTACTAAAAGTTCAACAATTAAGAAAAATGTTTATATGCAGGCTGTAAGTTTTTGACCACGGAAGAATAGAAGATTTTGAATTCCTCTTCCACTTAATTTAAGACATGTCAGCTAAGTAGCTCTACAGAGAGAAGGACTGTGTCTACACTGGCAAGTGTCCTGGTTTGAGGTAAAACAGAACCAATTTTGGTCAGTAACTTCGCTTCTTAGCTGGGCCTCTCTAATAACTGAAATTAACAGCATATTATGCAGACAATGTTCACTCTCTCAGAGTGATAAGACCTATGTTTATAGTTGATGCTCAGGCATGGTATGCAGAGAGGGTCCTGCTTATACTTATTGCTAAAACAACCAAGGCCAACCAACTTTGTTATTTGACCCGTTGGAGGGTCGGAAGCAGAAAAGCATAGTGGGGTCCCACCTGCAGGGAGGAGCGGACAGGACAGGTGACCCAAAACTGACCAACGAGGGTATTCCATCCCATCTGCCTCATGCTCAGTATAAAGGCTGAGGGATCAAAGGGTCAGGTCTCTCTTCCTGCAATGGCTGACATCTGAGGAGGACTCTGTTCGTCTGCCTGCGATCCCGATCCTGAATGCAGATCTGGAATCCAGTTCCCGTCCATTACTGAGTCAGCCTGGGACTGCCCCAGTGCCAGCCGGTGTCGTGATTGTCATCTCGGGAGCTTGATACGGTTTTGTATATATTTCATTATTTCTTTTTTTATTTTATTATTAATATTTCATTAGAGTAGTTTAGTTCCTTCTAAACTCGTAAGTCTCTTTTTCCTCCTCTGCCCCTCTCTTTGAAGAGGGGTAGAGGAGAGCATCTGTCGGTCCCATCTGGGGTCCCGCAGGTCCCCAGTAGCCGATTTGGCCTAAACCACGACAGCAAGTTATGTGGATTCATGGGAACATAGGAAGGTATCTGTACAGGGGAGCATTTGGTACCCAGCTCATCTGTTTTATTGATGTTATTTTTATTGCCTAATTCCATGTCTACCTTTGTAAGTAATGACATTTCTTTTCTCTGCACCAGGTTATACAGGTACAGCAAAAAGGAAATTGGTGAAATTGGTGAAGGGTATGAATTTTCTAGAGTATGATTTATCTGCTGATCTGTATCATGTCCTCCTTGTCATTACTGGCAAGGTATCTTTGCAGTTCTCAAGTGAACTACGTTCCATTTCTTCATTAATTGGCATCCTGCAGCTATGAAAACAAGAACTTTTAAAATTTTGCCTGGGAGCTTTTAATCAATATTTATTATATGAAAATGCAGGAGATGGGTTAATATTTAAAAGACAGATTTGGGTAAATTTAGGACAAGAAAGAGACATTCTAGAGAGTAGGTACAACCCTAATCCAGGTTTAGGGATCAGTGGCAAATCAGTTTCCAATGCATTGATTTGGAATGATTATGTAAGTCTACCTTGGGATTGTATCCAAAAACCACTGTGGTTTGTTTTGTGACCATTTCATTTGGAGCTAGACTAGAGCAATGATGTGTTCTGTCCCCAGTGCATCAGCCAGCTGGTTACAATGACTAAACTGCTGATTTGAAAAACATTGGGAGGAGTATTTTGCTGATATGAATGGTTGTATTCTTTCAATTGAATTTTTTTAGAAATACTGTTCCTAATTGCCATGTCAGTCACTCCCTCGAGAGCCTAGGTCTGAAATGTAATTTTGACTAATTTTGTATGATTTTGCCCAGCAAATCTCCAATACGGTTGTTAGAAATTTATGAAGCTTCTTGTAACCTTATGTTAAGATTGTTTGTGTTCGGAGAGCACTACATGTTCACATGGGATGTATGCAAACTGCAAAGCTCTTTGCAGGTAAGTGCAAAAATATTCTTATGCTAAAAACACCGGGAGTTCATGAAAGCAGAATAGGAAAATGTTCATACTGTATGCTCAGTTTCATACAGTCCACAGTTATCAGATAACTAACTTTTTTATCAGGCTATGTACATGAAAGGTGTATTTGGTGTACATAGCAAATTCAAGCTGCATTTCTTGAATCTGCTTGAAATAAAAGCCCGGTCAGCTCATCTCTTGGGCTCTCAGGCTTCAGTCTGGTGTCCCTTCTCCTGTTCCTAGCATTCCCTGTCTTGTAGGTTTACCCTGGTGTAAACCATCTCAACGATAATGGTTCCCCAGCTGAAACACCTCCTGTGCAAAAGGGAAGCTGCTAACTTCCCTTGCTTTCTGGAAAACCCAACTCTGCTTTGTATTACACTGATGAAAATCCATCCCTGATGGAGTTGCCCCAGATATGCAGCTGTGTAAGTGAAAGTATGGCACTATTAGTCTGTGCTTACCCAGTAAACTGTCCTGTCCTGAACCGTTGCTTGGAGGAGCAGAATAGCAGTGCTGAAATTTGTGAGCTTTGGCAGGGCATTGAGTGGGAGCGGGCTGATCTCCTCAGACCACAGGGCAGGAACAAGACCTGGAAATAGAAAATGAGCTTTTATTAAGTCGTATTACTTGAAACTTTTAAACTCGGTGAGGTACTATCAGACATGCCTTAAGTTCTGACCTTTCTCACCTCACGTGTTAGGGACACCTTTCTTCAGTAGGTGCTGAAAGAGAGAGAGTTTGAAATTGTGTTCTGTTATCTTCCTAGAGGCTTAAATCAGCATCCCTGATGACCACTTAATTTTGCATTAATTATAAACTAATCTGTATTTGCTATTATATCCCTGATTAGCACCATCTCATTTGGTACTAATGTGACCTCCACAGAGCTCCTGAGTAATTCAGGATGAGAGCTGTAGTTGCTAATCAGCTGCCAGGTTTATCTTTCTAAAACAGCACAATTTCAGGCTAAGTACAGGCTTAGGAAGAGCTATCCTGTCACATGTGAAAAAAACACAATCTTTGAAAAGCTCTTTTCCTTCTCTTTATTTTTCAAGTGGTAATTTTCAGTGGGAACTACAACGTGGAAACAGGAAGCTATTTCAATCAGTAGCAACTTGTACTTACTGCTTTATTTTTTAATTATGCCACATAAATATGAGGGAAGGGGTGGTTAACTTATGCTCAGAGCAGAGGAGAAACGTGCCCTTTGCTCTGGCTTCTTTCTGTTATGGAAGAAGGCATCACCCTCTTGTGTGAAACAAGCAGAGAAGTGTGTAAAGCCACAGAACTCTGTGGCTTTAGCGCTACCAAAGTGACTCTGCCCTTCGGCCGAGCACCTGGAGACTGAAGGACAGAAAAATAATCCCTGGATTGTAGTTTGGCCAATAATGCCCAGGAGAAGAAATAATGCCAGGAGAGCCTGGAAACCTAGGTGCAGTCTCATATCTCTCTGAAGCTCGTCGCCAAACCTCTCAGCACTAGCAGCATGACTGAATCCTCTGTGTTATCTTTAGGGAATGAATTTGTCCGGAGGCACCTACAGTTAAGATCTCTTTTTATGGTCTGTGACCCTGGTGATGTTTCAGACACGGGTAGCTTGAGCTGTTTAGATCAGTGCTTCAGGGTAGACAGTTGTGAGAGCTTTTTCCTGGCTGGCTGTGCGCTCTGGTTTGTTTATGCCTTCAACTAGCAGCACAGCTTGTCCCACGGGGCTGAGCTTGTGCATTAATCCTGCAAGAAGCTTCTGGCAGCTTTGCAGTGGGAGGAAGACTCTACAGTGTCTAGCTGGTTGGCATCCTCTTCCAGGGGTTTTTAAATACAGATAAAACTTCAAGCAGCTGAACTAAGTATACAGCATGTGAGCGCAGTAGTCAATGCACATTTAGGCGTCTGATTTCAGAGAGTTCGAGTGTGCTAACGTTGGGCGCAGCAGACTGAATTTCAGTGTTTCATTGCAGCCTTAACAGAATGAGCTGCAAAAAATGTATGAGTATGTATACTGTCTCACAACAGTCAAAACTCCAAAGCTGCCCTCAGTTCCTGTGTTGCTTTGCCTTAGTTTGGTCTCTTATTTACCCTGTT